CCAGGTACAGCACGAGCCAAAAGGGTGCCACACATTCCCTCTGCTGGAGGACAGAGGGCGCTTTCCACGCCCCTCGCACTCAGGCACAGCTGGACTGGTTTGGCTCCAACTCCCAAAACAAAAAGCAATCACCTTCGGGCATGGAACATTTAGCCACAGAGAGCGCGTCTCACGGGACGGTGATAGGCAGATGGAAGCACCATGTTGGGATGGAAACGGTTACGCAACCCTGCTGTGGCTGTTGTTACAGCTCTGTGCAACAGGCCCAGCGACAGCAACCAGCACCACCGCAGGATGGCTGGGTGCCACGGCAACGCCCCCCCCCCCCCCCACCCGCGCGCCGCGGGTTTCCTGAGGTAAAAGCAGGAGCGGCAGCAGCCGAGCGGCTAGGAGTTTTGACAAACAGCCTCTGGGTTAAATATTTCCTCTCCCCAGTGAGGGGCGCGTGGGCCGCACGAGGGGTGCTCCTCCAGCCCAAGACTGCCGCAGCCGAGACGCTCTCCCGGGGCCGGGTAGTGTGGCTCACGGCGCCAGCGTGCCTGCAATTTGTGGGTGGTGCCGATTGAACCGCAGCAGCGCTGTGATTGGCTACAGAGGGAGCGCCCGGCTGTCACAGTCAACGCAGTGTGCAATCAGCATGCACCTCACTTCGTGTAGCCTGGCTTTTACGTGCATGTCACTTGAGTGACACCAGTAGGGAAAAAACACCTCAGACCAGAGCCAGGGGAACTTGGCAGCCCTGCGCATGAGCGCTGGTAACCAAACAGGCGACACGCAGGGCCCCAATAGGCCATGGGTGGCCCACCGCTGCCTTAGCCTCAGAAAGCCCCTCCTGGGGTACATCACTCCACTTATGTGCTGTCCAGCCACAGGGAAGGCACTGGCAACCTCCAGAGACCAAGCTGGTGTCACTCTGGGCTCCAGGCCAGAGGAGGTGGCTGCAACACACCGATACCTGCCGGGCACGAAAACACAAGGCACACAGGCTATGCACGCACGGTGACCGCGGAGACCGGTTCACAGAAACTGAGCTTAAAGCCTAAAGGGGGATTTTGCCCTTATCCCTTAGATCTCCATCCTGCCTAAGCCCTGGGCAGCCCCAGCCTCCACAGCGCCGCACAGTTACCAGCTGCATGCCCCGTACCCGTGCAGGCAGGCAGGAGGGGGCAGAGTCCAGCTGCGGCGTGGGCTGCATGCCCGTTGGGACGTGGGCCAATGCAGAACAGGACGGCAGCGAGGGATGCCCTGTGAGGCTGGAGAGCCTCCCCCAGTCACACATCATCTCAGTCTGCGTCCTGCCCGGTCACGACCGGGGCTTACTCTGTTGGTCTCGTATTCCTATAGGCTCCTGGACCTGATGCTCTCTTGTGCCATGAACTGCCCCGTTCCTCTGAAAGATGCTGGTGCAGCCCACTCCCTTTGCAATTAGACCCCCAGGAAAGTTTCACAGCCGGCATTAACAGGAAGCTAATGCCGACCCGGTGTTCCCTGTGGAGAACATCTCCGTCCCCGCAACAAAAAGGGGGTTGGGGGAAACCTCATTTTTTAAACCTTTTCCATGGGGGAAGAAGGTATCGTATCAATTTAAAAGGCAAGTCCAAGGTGGAAGCAGCCACAGTTCTTTAGTGTGACTTGCACGTGGTTTTGAATTCCGTTCAACGCCTCTATGTTCATGAATCCAGCCTTTGCACTTAGAGATCGCTCGAGCCGCAGTAGCAACTTCGGTATTTACTCACACAGATGAATTGCCTCATTCTACGTATCTTCCCACTGTGGCTTGCGGTCAAGGAGGAATGGAGATTTATCCTATGCACTGCAAGAATTCACTGGGGCGCAGGTCCATCTTGCTGGCCACCTCGCACCTGCATAACAGGCCTGAGAGCTGAGGCTGGCCCATAAGAACGGCCACACTGGGGCAGACCCAAGGTCCATCTAGCCCAGTGTCCTGTCTGCCAACAGTGGCTAATACCAGATGTCCCAGAGGGTGGGATCACAACAGGTAATCCTTATGTGATCCTCCCTTGTCACCCACTTCCAGACAAACAGAGACTAGGGACACCATTCCTACCCATCCTGGCTAATAGCCATTGATGGACCTAACCTCCATGAATCTATCTAGCTCTTTTTTGAACCCTGTTAAAGTTCTAGCCTTCACCACATCCTCTAGCAAGGAGTTCCATAGGTTGACTTGCGCTGAGTGAAGAAAAACTTCCTTTTGTTTGTTTTAAACCTGCTGCCTGTTAATTTCATTTGGTGACCCCTAGTTCTTATATTGTGGGAATAAGTAAATAACTTTTCCTTATTCACTTTTGCCACACCTGTCATGATTTTATAGACCTCTCTCATATCACCCCCTTAGTCTCCTCTTCCCTAAACTGAAAAGTCCAAGTCTTTTTAATCTTTCTTCATATGGGACCTGTTCCAAACCCCTCATCATTTTTGTTGCTCTTTTCCCAACCTTTCCCAATGCCAATATATTTTTTTGAGATGAGGCGACCACATCTGTATGCAGTATTCAAGCTGTGGGTGCCCCATGGTTTTATACAGAGGCAATAAGATATTCTCTTTCTTATTCTCGAACCCTTTTTTAATGACTCCTAATGGCTCATTGCATCTTGGCCATCCCAGTCCTGGGCAGTATTGAGAATTAACAAAAAAAAGAGTCAGCCAAGCACAAGCTGAACCTCTCTCGGCTGGCATCCTTGGGACCTGACCGGTGCCGACCCAGAGAATGTATCAGACCATGGGAGGTCAATATTGTTTAGTAGCATGACCAACACTTCCACTGCTCACTGGGCTGTTAGGAGACATTTAGGGGAACATTAGAGCTAAACAGCAGCACAGAACACAGAGCCAGGACTGGTGGCTGCAAACAAACGTTATGAGACAACGGGAAACTTGGCCACACCCATGAGAAGTGGACATCCGGCTCATTAAGATCATGCCGGCCCCAGGTGTTTCTGGACCAGAGAGCTCTGGACTAGAGAGGTTCAACCTGTACCTAAAAAGCCTTCAACCTCATTTGTGTGTGGTTGGAGCTGCAGTGAGAGGTTCATAAGTCAAAAGGGCAGGATTCCCCCCTATCATCAGCCTGAACAACTTTCATCTTTACCCCCAGTATATAGCTGACGGTGGGCTCCCCTGCCACCTTCCCCTCCCCGGGCCTCCGTCTCCCCATCTGTAAAATGAAGCGAATGGTAAGTTTCCTTTGGAAAGCACTTTGAGACCTTACTGATGCTACATAACAGCTACAGCATCCCCCCTGGGCACATGACACACATTTAAGGAAGGGCAGCATTTAACATTTGCAAGGGGCTGTCCCATGGTATCTTTCTCCTTCCCCTGCTTCGCTATTCCCCCGTCCCCCATCCCACAAGGCTGCAGCTATGCAAGAGTAAAGGAAAGCCTTGCCTGTCATCCACCCCCCCAAGCCACTTCTCTCAGTGCTCACCCAACGTGTAAGCTGCTCTAAGTGGCCCTGGGCAGTCAGTCAAGGCCTGGACTCCACTGCAGAATGTGGCTGTAATTAGATAATTAATAACTTTAAAAACAAGGCTAAATGGAAGCTTTCCTCAGACAGAGGAAATAATTATATATCATTTTTGATATGTGAGCTGAGTCAGCCCTTGGAGGGGAGATACTGTACCGTCCATGGGAAGCCAAAAAATTACATGGGCCGTCCCTTGGGCAGCTGTGGGTTACAGGGCTTGCCTTGTTAGTCTGAGAAGCCAGGGCTGGGCAAACGAACAGCAGCATGTTCGTTATTCTGCCTGCGCAGGAAGCAGCCTGCGCTCAGAGAGGGGCTCCCCCCCCCCGTCTTGCGGCATGACCCAGTCGTGCCTACACGAGAGGAACTCAGGACCCCTTGGGGAGCTCTAACCGGTGTCGTGCCAGAGCCTCGGTGGTGTTTAGGAGATGCCGGGCACCGTGTGTGTTGGATGGCGCTGGGGAGTGAGGCTGAGGTGCTACAGCTGGACCGAAACAACGAGCTTAGCGATACGATGTAAAAGGCTGCACAGTT